TAATACTAGTAATAGTAACAATACTAAGTGTTTAAATAATAATTAGTTTAATAGATTAGCTTACGAGGCCCAACAGCAAAGCAAAGAAGTGCAGAGAAGAAAATCATATAAACAAATATATATCGAAATTCTTCAAACAGAAAAGCATCAGCTCCTTGTGCAATACTTGCGGATATTGCCTTCATAGAAGCAAGCTGTTCTTCTATACTTCCTGTTGTCTGTATAGTAGATAAACATAATATAAAACATAACAAATATACATATATGATAATTATTATTAAACAATGTAATTCATTTATTATCTCTTGTGCTATGTTTTAATCCATGCATGCATGCATATATATATATATATATATGCATGCATATTTATATAACTATACATTCATATTTATATAACTATGCATGCATATTTAAATAACTATGCATACATGGATAACTGCATGCATAACTGCATGCATGCATAAAGTGCATGCATGCATGTAAAGATAGAGTATAGATATTCGATAATAGTAAAGATGATAGTGCTAGACTTACCTCTGCATTTAATGGGTCAGTCAGGGGTCTTCCTTCGCTTGCTGCTGGACCATTTAATTTAATTTTTGATAAATTGTAGGCCTGTTGTGCAGACCAAAGTAAACCGAAGAAAGGAGGAAGAAGAATTACATAAAGAGATATATTATCTGCTGTATACTCCATCTTAATAAATATGCCTCTCTTAGATCCTTTTAAAATAATCTTGAGTTTAGGGATAGAAACTATGAAGAATAAGTAAAATAATATACATATATATATGTATATATATATGTATATATATATATATATTTTTGTATATCTGTATCTGTTTATATTTAAAAGGAAAAGGAACAAAGAAAGAAAGTATATATATACTCTGCATGCAATACACAGAAAATGAAGACAATGCAGTCAAAATCTCCAATCGTATAATTCTTTCTCTTTTTAATTATTTTTTTTTAATTATTTGTTGTTGTTGTTCTTCTTCTACTCGTCTTCTTCGTGCCCTCCTCTTGTCTTTTTATTATTTTATTATTTGTTATTATTGCTGTTATAGCGGGTTGCCTTCTTTTCTTTTCCTTTAGTTTGCTTTTCCTTCTTATTTCACGCTGCGACGTCGTGCAGACTTAGCAACGAGAAATGCTTATTTTAATCGAATTGAGCGTTCTTCTTCTGATTTTGTGTTTATTTGTCTTTAAAAAAACAAAAAACTGCCAATAAAGCCAAAAGAAAAACCCAAAGATTCAATTAATTCTCGCCTTCCTCCCCGTCTTCTTCCACCCCTCACGCGTGCAAAAGGCACACGCTACTGCGACGAACACTATGACTGATGAAGATAAAAAGAAGTTTTATTAATATTTTCATTTATTTCATGAAGCTTTCATCGATATTCCCACCGAAATTCCAACTTTTTATTCAACTTTTCATACAACCGTCGACCTGCCCATACACCGCAGCCGCCATGAAAAAGTCGTGCGGTGCTGCCGCCTGTTGCATCTTCAACTGGTGCATGTCTACTCGAATATTTATTATATTTTTATGTTTTATTTTATTTTTCAAAATATATTTCATTAAGTAATATATTTCAATCCAAATTATATTATTCAAACACTCAAAACATCAAGCTTCTTAACTACCGTCTACCCGGACCATTCGCTGCACGACAAGAGTGTATGCATTGTAAACTCAGCTATTTGAATGCTTTCTTAGATTAACACTAATTTAATTAATTTATTTATTGAAAATTTAATAATATTAAGTTGTTTGTGAAGGAAACACACAACGGAATTCCCTGAGACGCAACACGTCCATCCACCGTCAGCCTGTAGAGACGCCGTTTGCCTCCAGAATATTAAGTTTGTGAGTACTTTTTAACAAATCCCTAATAAATTAAATAATATTATAACAATAATACCATATCTATGAATAAATCTAATCATACTACAGATCAGTCTCTTGCTTGTTTCTTGTTCTTGAGCGCATTCAACTCTACTTCTACGTAGGTTGACTGTTGCTAGCTCAAGAAGATGCCTCCCAATTGTCTAACACCTCGATATATATAAATGCATGCATGCATGCATGCATGCATGAGATGCATCCATGCATGCATGTTTGGGAAGGACGCTTTGGGTTTGCTTGCCTCTATGCATGCATGTAGGGTTAGGCTGTTTAGGGGTATACGCGTTGCACGATCTGTTTGAAATCTTAACGTGAGCGCTCTTACTTGGCGTTAATATGCAGCATTTAAAGAAGAACTGGCTTAGCAATTATCAATAATGATAACGTAGACAAAGAAAAGAAGGTTTTTTGTTTTGCTTGTAGTTGTACAAGACGCTAACTTGCAATGCGTTGCAATTCATATTAGCTTGCTGCTTCTTCCCCTTCTTCAAACTCTTCAGTTTCTGTTGTTTTCAGAATATCTGAGAGCGTTTCAAAGCCTTTTCTAAATCCTTTTATTCTTTTTTGTGGTTTAAGAGGCTGTAAACTCTTGTTATGTACACCCACAAAAAATTATAGTAAATTTTTGTTTATAATGATATAAATAATCATATTATTGTAATTTTTAATAGGGTAGCATGCAAGAAGAAATGCTGCAACTCACATCAAGCTGTCTCTTCTTCTTTACTTATCCTAGCATTGTTTGTCTGTTTAGCGGTATGCATACTATTTCAGCTTGCATGCAAATAATTAATAGACAAAAAGACAAGTTGAACGAGGTAGGGCCTTCGATCGTATTGGGTAGCACAGACACTGAAACTGAGATGAAAAATACTAATAATAATATAATAAAGGGTTAAATAAAATTCTTTCTGTATGCCTATTACATCTCTGCAAAGAAGACGCAGCCTTTGATTGACTGCAGCGCAGCTTGTTGAAAATAATGCTAAAAGATAATACTACATGCAAGAAAAGAAATCTTCCTTTGATGTGCCTGTGCGCATAAGTACTGTATAGACAGTGTCATGCAAACGCTTGTATTGCATGCAGACACAAGTAATAGCTTCAAACAACCGAACAAGCTCTATTGTCTCGCTTTCTCTCGCTTTTTCAACAGATATACCTGCAAATGCAAGTCTCCTTACTTACTTATCACGAAAAGAAGAAAGAAATTCAATAAGAAGCAAACAACTGAAGAATCAATCTTCTTGCTGTCTCTGTTGCTGTTGCTCAGCTCATGCTGATTGAAGCCGTTTTGTTTATTTGTTTATTCTTTATTCAGCATTTTAATTGTCTTCAAATCCATGTGCTAATTAATAATAAACTTCAACCTATGCTCCTTCTCTGCTCTCTTCCTGTTTCTTTGAACTTCATCTCTTTTAGCCTCAACTTCCTCTTCAAGATGCTGAAGTTGTTTATAATAATTATAATAATAAAGCTTGAAGAGGCCCCCGCAGAAAACTTCGTTTTGCAAATATTCAAAGATTTAAATATTTACTTTCAGGATATGCTTCGAAAGGATATTGCCAACATAAGAAGATAAGCAGAGGTAAATATATATATATATATATGTACATATATATATATATATATGTACATATATATATATATAGAGAGAGGGAAGAGAACAGAAGCGTATATATATATGCATATAATATATGTATATACATATATATATATATAGGGGAAAGAACAGAAACGTATATACGTATATATATATATATATATATATATATAACTTTTCATTGCTGGATGTGGTGCTTACCTGTGTCTTGAGCCCTCCAGTCAACGGCTTCGACATTTGCTGCAGCTTCACCTTGAAGAGCAAAGCTGAGGCGCTGTATTTTCTTTCAGTGTTTATTTTGTTTTCTTCGTTGCAGCCTTCATTGGGTGCTGTGCATGCAGACAGCTCCTCTCTGGAACTGCAGCAGCAGCAGCAATACACCCCCTATTATTATTATTACTATTATTATTATTATATTATTTTGTTATGTTATTATTTTGTTTGTTCCCTTCACTTGGCTTTTTTAATGCATTTGCGTCTCTCGTCTCCTCTTCTGATTTCAACTCTAAAACTCTAAACCCTAGAACCATAAAACCCTAAACACTAAACCACTAACCATAAACCCTGGACTTTAAATCTAAACCCTAATAAACCCTAAACCCTAATCCCTAATTCCCTATACCCTTAACCCTGCACACTACGCCAACGCGCCTCTAAAGACGTCTCCCCGTATATTACACACGTTGTCGACTAAGTCTTTCTCGGCATAGAAAACCCGAAAAAAGAAATACATTTCAGATGATCTTAGCAGCTACTGCGAAGGAAAAGGAAACATATGAAGGAAGCGGCTCAAAGGGGCCCCCAAGGGCCCCCAAGGGCCCCCAGGGGCCCCCTGTAAGGGCCCCTAAGGCGGATGTAGGGTTGTTAGTAAAGGATGAAGAAGGAAAAACTAGTTCTTTTTACATTTATTTTTGGATTATAATGATTTTTTACTGAGGATGAAGTTGGTTAAGTGGTTGTGGATGGGGGGAAACCGCGGTGTATATTCATTATGCGGAGCCGTTGTAATTTGCATTTCAGTGTATTCTTGAGTTTTTGCGTTCTTCTTAGCTCTCTGACTGCAGGACGTCTTCTTTATTCTTCTGCAATTAATTGTGTTCCTCCTTCCTTCACTTTGAAGGGTAAGGAGAGGGAAAATCTATCTGCCTTTCAGCATAGGCACGTAACCGAGCAGGTATTTCATATTATATTTCAGAAAGCATTCCAGTCGAGCAAATACCACTCCAAGAAACATAAAACGCATCTTTTTCTCAACAGAAATGACGCTTTACGAAGGTCCGGGGAAGCAGGAACCTGCGTATACACCTCAACTTTGGGGTGTATAGGCACCTCCTCTCCACCGCCTCAGGCTGCAGGATTAGCACGGGGAAGAACCGGCTTCATTTCCTCAATTTTTGGTACTTCTTCTTCTTTTTCACCGTCTAACTCGCTCCGTTTCCCCACCTTTCTCGGCAAATTTCCCTTTTTAGCTTCAAACACACCGGCGATGGCGCCGGAGGAGTGTGCAGAAACTCCACCGAAAGTTGTATTCATCATTGGCCCAACGGGAGTGGGAAAGTCTCGTTTGGGTTTAGACATTTGTCTGGAGTTGAGGAAAAATGGAATAAATGCTGAAATTGTTAGCGCAGACTCCATGCAGGTATGCAGATGCTTGTAAATACGCCAGAAGTACGCAGCACAGCATATCGTTTCTGCACTGACGAACAAATGCAGATCAAACAACATTAATACTTTCTCTGAATATGAAGCATAAAGACGGGAGGTTCTGACAGAGATAGACGCTGCTTTCCAGCTGTTTAGCTCCACTTGTATGCGAATCAGTTACCTCGGTGGCTAGCTAGATGTCTCGGCACCAAGGCGTCGTAGATAGCCAGCTAGCAAGCTAGTTAGCTAGCTAGCGGAGGAGGCATTTAGCTAGCTAGCTACCCATTTGCCTAGTGGGACCGGGCAATACATCTCTGCGTAGCGAGCGTTTGTTCTAGCTAGCTAGCTAGCTGCCTCTACCGCCGCGGATTGGTTAGCGGCTAAGTTTTGTTTGCTGTTTTCAGGTGTACAAAGGATGCGACATTGCCACTGCAAAGGCTTCAGCAGCGGAGAGGGAGGCGGTGCCCCACCATCTGCTGGATGTCTGTACACCTCAAGAAGCGTTTACAGCAGCAGATTATCTAAAAGCAGCGAAGCAAACAGTGCGTGTAAAGAAACCGCATACCCATCCTTTCATTGCTTTGTTAGTTCTTCGCTTTAGCGTTTGTTTTTGTTTATATTTATTGTTTCTTTTTGGCTTTGCTTTCTTTATGCTGCCCTATTCTCCACTGAACACCTGTCGAAAAAAGTATAAAGGAAAGGCGTATAGTTGGGTATGTTGGGGTGTATAAGGAGGTGTGAATGCATGCAGAACTATTTATCTGCTTTATTTATCTGTTTGTCTTTCTTCAGATTCAAACACTTAGCGATCAAGGAAAACTACCGGTGGTAGTAGGGGGCACTCAGCTGTATATACAGCTGCTACTATGGAAGTCAGCCGTAGATATCTCTGTAAATAAACAAAATACAAATATAACAAAGGAAATTGCAACGCGTGAAGCCCGTAAGATACTAGCAGAAACAGATGCAGCAACAGCAACAGCAGCAGCAGCAGGAACAGTGTAGCAGCAGGACTGCTGCTTGAGCAAGTGCAGCAGCAACTGGAGCACCAGCAGCAGCGGTAGCAGCAGCAGATGCAGCAGCAGCAGCAACAGCGTGGGAATGTTTTGCTGTTTTCTCTGTCTCTGCTTTTTTTGCGTTTTGTTCGAAGTGGAGGCGAAGACAAACGAAGAATTGGTGGAACTCCTGAAGCAAATCGACAGCAAAAGGGTGGGGACTTCAGGGCCTCTGCATGCATGCATGCAACAAGTGCATGCATGCATGCAAGAAGTGCATGCATGCATGTATGGAGCTGTTTATTGGGGTCTATTGACAGCTGAAGAGTAGAGTACTGCCCTGTTGATTATATACATCTCTCTTCTTCTTCTTGCAAAATATTATTATATATATCCATATTTATTATTATTATAATATATATATATATTGTTTGGGTCGATGGTTTGCAGGCAGAACAACTCCATCCTCATGACCGGCGGCGTATTATTCGCAGCATTGAAGTAAGCGCAGCAAATAATGCATGCAGCAGCAGCTGCTGCTGTTGCTGCACCTGCAGCTGCTGCTGCACCGCTTGCTGCACACCTGCTGCTGCTGCTGCTGCAGGCCCCAGCAACTCCAGGCTGCTGCAGCGTCTGGGGAGATTGATACGCAGATATTTCAGTCTTTCGTGCATGCACGTATGCATGCACTGTTGCGTTGGTGATGATGCATGCAGTTGAGCATGCATGGAGTGGTTGCTGCATGCATTTATCGATGCTTAGCTTGCAGAAGTTCTTGCATGCGTTGTTTATGCATGAATGCATGCATCATTTTGCATGCATTATGCATGTGTTTGCGCACGCCTTTGTGCATGCGTTTGCGCATGCAGGTAACGCAGGAGTTTGGGGTGCCGCACAGCGAAGTGATGAAGGGGGAAAATAGCGAAAAGTTGAGGCAAGTATTTCTTTTAAAAGTTTGTCTTTCTCTTATCACCTAAAAAAATAAGTCTTTTGTTTAATTAAAAAATACAACAAAAAGCCTCTGAAGCAATATGCATGCACCTTGCATGAATGCATTTTGCATGCATTTTGCATTCATTCATTTTGCATGCATTTTGCATGCATTATTGCATGCATGAATGGGGCTTTCTGCGTGCAGATATGACGCATGCATATTTTGGTTGGACCTGCGAGACCGAGAGGCCCTGGAGAAGAGGCTGCGGCGGCGACTCGAAGTCATGTGCGAAGTGAGGAGAAAGAAAAGAGAAAAAAAGATAGAAAGGAGAGGGATGACAGACAAAGAGACGTATAAAGCAGACAAAAAGATATATAAAGCAGACAAAAAGAGATATAAAGCAGACAAAAGGGGATATAAAGCAGACAAAAAGATATATAGAGCAGAAAAAAAGATATATAAAGCAGAGAAAAAGATATATAAAGGAGGAAGAAATGGAGTGAAAGGAGACAGAAAAAGATAGAGAGTGATACAGAAATAGATAGAAAGGATACAGAAATAGATACAAATAGATCCAAACATACACCGGAAAGGAGACAGAAATAGAGACAAATATACAACAAAAAAGAGACAGAAAGAGACAGAGAGGAGACAGGAGGAGACAAAAATAGGCAGAAAGGAGATTAAAAGAAGAAAAAAGGAAAACAAACAGATAGAGATAAGAGACAGCAAGAGACAGAAATAGAGACAAAAATAAAACAAGAAAAGCGATAAAAATAAAGGCGACAAAAAGAATTCAAAAAAGGAGACAGAAAGAGACAGGAATAGACAGAAATTAAAAAAATAGAAAGGAGACCGAATGAAGACAAAAAGGAAACAGAGACAGAGAGACAGAAACAGAAACAAACATATGCAGAAAAAAAACGAAGAAGCAGACAAGAAGGTTTTGTTGTCTTCTCTTAATTAGGGATCCGCAGCCCTGCTGGTCATGCATGCATTGCATTTCTCTCTCCAATACTGCTGCATACATGCGTGCATGCATGTGCTTCTGCATGTGCTGTTGCATGCGCTTCTGCATGCGCTGTTGCATGCACTTGCATCGATTTGCAAGAGCTGTTGTATGCATTTGCATGCACTTGCATGCATTCACCTGCATGCGTTTCTGCATGCATTTACATGCATATATGTGCATGCATGTTTACAGGGTGGTTTGCTTGAAGAAGTGCGTTGGGTGGCGGCTCAGCTTCAGCTCCGCAGTTGGCCTGCAGCAGCAGGGGGGGCCCCCGAGGGCCCCGTAGATAATCTTTTATCTGTTTCTTCTCCTCTTTCGAATGACAGTGGTGATTCAGAAGATCCAAAAGATAAGATAAAGAAAGAAAGCTTTAGGGGAGGGGTCCTTCAAGGCATTGGTGCGTTGAGAAAGAAAAAGGGTTTAGGGTTTAGGGTTTAGGGCTTAGGGCTTCGGGCTTGGGGGGAGGTGCATGTGGAATGATTAAGGAATGCGTAGCCAATATTAAGGTTTTATTCATGCTTTAGGCCTTAGGGTTTAGGGTTTAGGGTTTAGGGTTTAGGGTTTGTGGTTATTTTGCCGTTTGTTTGTGCGCACAGGGTATAAGGAGTTTTTTCCTGTTGTGTTGCCTAAAGAAGAAGGAGTTGTATCAAATGGAGTTTCTTCTGGAGGTTTATCTTGCAAAGAATTACAAGAAAAAGAAATCAAAGATTGTTTAAACATCGCCTTGCTGCGCTCGCTGCAGTACGCAAGACAACAAAGGAAGTGGATCCGTAATAAATTCCTTATTCGTCAGAAAAACCTTCCCCTTTATTTCTTTGAAACAAATGAAGGTAATTATAATTATAATTTGAATAGTTGTTGTTATAGTTAGAGCTATATTTATTCGTATGATAATAGTAATAAGGATAAGAAGAGGATGCAAAGAAAAACCTTTTCCTGTATTTCTTTGAAACAAATGGAGGTAATGACAATTAGAATTATCACTTTAATCTTAATCATTGGCAAATAAACATGCGTACATATATGTACATATATCTATATGTACATATATATATATATATATATATATAT